CACACCTGATTCAACTCCTTGTGCTAATTACCACACAGCTCTTAAGCTGAATCTTTTGTGGTGGAACAGGGAAAGAACTAAGCTACACAGGGCTGTGGCCCCCCAGGACTGCAGTTTGACACCCCTGCCCTAGAGGGTGGGCCGACTGCATGGGTTGCACCACCATAACCGCTCTCTGTTGCTTATTGTCCAGGAAAGGAGTGGCCTATGAAGTACACAGCATCTTTTGTATGGTATTGACATCCTCTTTGGTCTGTGCCTTCAGGGGGACTCTGGTGGCCCGCTGTCCTGTTTCTGTGGCGATAGGTATGAGCTTGCGGGTGTGGTCAGCTGGGGCGTGGGGTGTGGCCGACCAAAGAAGCCAGGCGTGTACACAAACCTCACCAGATACGTAAACTGGATAAACTCTGTTATGGAAGGAAAGTATCTGCGTTGCACTGGAGATTATTTTTGGAATCGTAATTCATTCTGCTAATGGTTCTTGATGAAAATGCCCAATGAAATCATTGCTTTCCTCTTTTGTTATTCCTCCACTATTTTATAGATTCAGTAATTGCTTGCTTTAAAAAAAAAAAAAAAAAAAAAAAAAAAAGTAGGATGGTTTGTCATATTCAAACATGTGGATGTCACTATAGCCATCTTTGAAAGCTTTACCTGGTTTGAGTGACACTTCATTTATTTTCCTTGAGCTGTGTCCTGCTCATTTCAGATGATGCATTGCAGATCCGAAGTAACACAATGGAAACGCACACAGGTGGGGAATTTTAGTCTAACATTGAAATCCTTTGCCTATAAGCACATTTAGTCCAGTTTCTGGCACGTAATCCTTTTTTTTCAGTTTTGAGGTTTTCAGTTAGAGCCAGAATAGCCAATCCTGGATCAGCCTTGGGCAGTATTGAGGGCCAATTATCAGGAAATTCTTGGCCAAGATGTCGTCTATCCAACTTCCCTGTCTCACTAGTCCAATTACTTTCCTATTTGTCGTGAAATATGGTATTGTAATTCTTTTGACCTCAATTTATTGAATCATTTTATGCCCAATATAAAATAATGGAATGGCTTTTTGTCTTACAGGCATCTGTCACTGGCTGGCAGTGTGCACTGGCTATGCATTATAGGCCTTTGCTGTACTAGGTGTCGATGCATAAACATCAATGAGCTGCTCTTTCTCAGGATCCTTGGTTCTATGTGGACAGCCGGAAATCCACCCCTGCTGGCAGAGCTCTGACTATGCTCAGGTGGTGCAGGTTCAGCATAAGCTAAGGGTGGAGAACATACAGTCAGCCTGCCCCCACTCCTGGCCCTGGCAGGTCAGTCTGCAAGCTCATGGGAGACACTATTGCACTGGGACCCTGATTCACCATGACTGGGTGTTGGCAGCCTACCACTGCAACACCAGGTAGGCCTGAAGACACTTGTGCACCCAGAAGATCTCAAGCTTTTTGTAATGAATGACCCTCAACTAATCCAGCTGCTAACTTCATGTACGCAGTGAAGCAGGGCTTCCCCAAATGTCAGCCCATGACCCCCCGAAATAAGTGTCACTCGTCACCTGGGGGGGCCCTCGGTAGACTTATTGCAATAACAGATTTTGTTTAGCGGTTTTGATTTTACCTTCTCAGGTTTTTAAAATGGGGAATCTGCTGACACCCACTGTGGAGACCCCTGTGTTAAAGTACCCTTTTCCCTTGCAGAGCCAAAACCGATACTGTGGTGCTTGGGGTAGATAATCTGGAGATCACAGATGTCCAGGAGATCCCTGTAAAAGCAGTTTACACCCTCTCCCAGAATGACTACTCCCCTCCCATCCACGATGTGGCATTGATCCGGCTCCTCCGACCAGCTCGCATTGGTATGGCACTGCCCTTCTTTTGCTGACTACCTGTCAATGCCTTGTTATAAAGGGAGTTATTGGACGTGCATCAGCAAAACTTCAATGCATATTCTGTTTACTTGAGATGATATTTTTTTTGGTACTGTATAGCCTTTTGAATATCTTTGGTGTTCCTCGTCCAGGAGCGACGGTGGCCCCGGTTTGTTTGCCCAATGCTAATATCAAGCTGAATGACAGCTGGGATTGTGCCACTGCAGGTTGGGGGACCACAAAAGTGGCCAGTAAGTCTAACGGTCATGTCCATACGAAGAGCTTATGTCCTTAATCTGCAACGAACCATCTTATTCATTTAAGGAGAGTGTTTCCTTTGAGTTGTCTATAAATCTGCGATGTCAGATTTGTGTGTGTGTGTATATATAATTGTATTATAATTTTTTTTTTTTTTTTTGTCTGTACCTTTGGTTAGTGTACAAGGACCCTGAAGTTCTGCACCAGGCCAGGCTGAGGCTGGTTGATGAGATGGCCTGCCACAGGAGATGGGGCGATGACCTTAATGTTGAGCGGCACCTGTGTGCAAGTGCAGCTGGATCGCAGTCCTGCATGGTACCTGATTGCTCTCCCCTATACCTTCTGTCATCCCTTGGCCATTTTCTGCTCCTCTGTGTATTTGCCAAATTTGGCCACCAGCTCCCCCCCCTCCTTGAGCAACATTTAATTTTTGATACCATCACACAGTCCGGACATTATACTGCAGTATATGGTATTTTAAAAAGCAACGCCATTTCGCTATTTTTCTATAAATTTTCCGAGAGGTATACGGTATTATGGACCTAGCCTAGCCAGCACCCCCGCATTTGGTCAGGCCCCATGAAACTCTAAATGGCAGAGAACTGGCCCTTTGGTGTAAAAGTTTGAGGACCCCTGCTGTACACAGTATGTTCAGAATGCCCTCAAGGGTTACTTGGTGGGTAACGCCGTTTCCTTGCCTTTAGGGGTGGGGGTTTGAATCTGTTTTTCTCTGTAGACAGTCTTTATAGTTTTGCTTTTTCTCTTTGTGAGATCCAGTTTCTTCCCGCAGTCCAAATACAGGCTAATTGGCATCTCTGTAGTTTGTGTATGTGGATAAACCTGTACAGGTTGCTCTGGCTTTGCAAATGATGCTTGACTAAAAATCTATCGTTTACTGCTAACCGAGTGCATGTTTCCCTTTTTGCTACTGGATAAGTAAAACTGGACCAAAGAACAATTAATTTATGTCTGTGCAATAGTAGTAAAAGACGCAACAGCTCTTCATAACTTTTTTTATAAGTTTTTATTTATGGTTTATTTTACAGAATTCACGATGAAACGTTATGATGTCGGCTAAATTGCCGATTTAAGAAGATGACTGGAACTTAGGTTTAATTCTGATTTCAGTAACTTTTAGCCATACTGACCACTCGCCATATCCCTGTCCTTAGGGGATCTCCGGCGCCCCCCTGCTTTGCCAGAAAAATGGTACGTACTATTTATTTGGCCTGCTGACATGGGGCAGCAGACACTGCGATAGCAGCAGGCCGGCGGTTTACACGAAGCTGGCGGACTACCACTCATGGATTGGGGAGTTTGTAAAGGACCTCTGAGAGAGACGACGTGTTGGACATTGGGAACTGTGTTCGGCTTCAATAAACGTTTTGGTATCATGCTGTCAAGCATGCGCTGTGATCTCTAAGGTAGCATGACGTTTTGATTTATTTAATTTTTTTTTTTTTGTTCGAAGTTGGAAAGAAGAGGAATAATATTGACTCAAGTTATTCATTCAGTGTGTTTACTTAACAGACCTGTCAGACACCACTGTCAGCTTGAGGCAAAACTCTTGAATTACTGATTTACTTTTCCTGGTGCCTGGAAAGTACTGAGTCACTTTTGATCACAGCACACTTATTAGTGTATGTTTGGCACCTGTGTGTCAGTGAGTATAGCGTGCGTGTACATAGCCGAGCACAGATATAACCTGGAGGGGGGGGGGTCACGTGAAGTAGTCAGGGCCAAAGAACACTGGAGGACCTTATACTTTCCTTTTTATTTTTGATAGGTTAGTATTCTTACATTTTTGTATTGTTGGATAATTTGGCTGGTGTACAAATTCAGCACAATCCTTTACGGTAAATGGTTAAGGGCTGTAAAAATGTTTTGCATGATTTATAACAGTGATGAGACCAGTCGTCACATAACTTTACAAAGAACCATTTTCTTTGGCCTGACTTCAGGCTTAACCACTTAAACTTGTTTTATTAGTCTGTACGGAATGTCTGGTTTTAAAGTAGTTTTTCTTGTTGGGGTTCGCATGTATTCCTCTTGAAAAAACAGTGGTAATGTTTACAAAGAAACCCTCAGTCTAAGGGCAGAACATTGATTGCACATACTGTAGATGCTAGATGAATCCGTACTCTTGCAGGGTTCATCGAGCACTGGTGCGTGAGCGCTGTAATGGGCCACAGATCTGCTGTAAAAGCTTTTCGGTTCGTAATGGACCTGATCACCACCCAGGAAAATAACCCTCATCACAAATATTTTCCAAGCCCCACCCCATCCTATTGCATTTCCTGAAAGCTCTCGTTAGCAGCTTACATGGTTACATGGACCTATTCACCCGCCCGGCCACAAGTGTGATAAATTACTAGAGATGGGCCGTGTAGCTGGAAAAGTTAAGAAACCTTGTTGAAATCCATTGCATTTATACAGTCAGTAGCCAATTTATTACACTTTGTGGAATTATTAGGTAAGTACTATTCCTGGATATAATAGTGAAAGTGGCACAGACTAGAATTTGAACTGTTTTGCTCCATGTATATTTATTTAGAGAGACTAAATAAAGTAAATCACTTGATTAGCAGTGTGCACAATTAGATAATCAGAAACAGTGGATTTTTTTTTCTCTCCAATATCAATGGAAATATTTAAGTTTTATTGATTCTATATAAGGAATGACAAATTATTGTCCATTCTCTACAGTCTATCAAATTTAATGTCCCGTATGGCTACCTTCCTTCTCAATGACTATCATGAGTCTATTGAACTAGTCACGTTTTTGGTTTGATCCAGTCCTACAGTATATTAGCTGAGGCACCTAGGACTGCCTCCCAGACACTGCTCTGAGAAGTGTATTGCTTGCTATTTTTGGTAACTCTCACACTTTAGTAAGACCCAGTAGTTCTCAATCTGGGTTAAGCCAGGCTATGAAGGGGGGCAGGTCACAATTCAAGCCTTTCTTGGCAAGCCCACTTCTTGTACCAGTTTGATAAAGGCATCTTCTATAAATTTCTCGTAGATCTCGTAGTTACCTGTTACACCATATAGCATGTCGGAAAAGTCCTACTATTTCATAATTGATAACAGCAGCCCACATCACTCTACTACCTTGTTGGCACTTATAGGTGTCCAGCCACTGGTCCATCCATCTGTTCCAGCGAGTCATTCTGTCCACAAAGCATTTGTAAAATCTTGACACGTCTGTGCCCATTCTTGACATTGTAGCTTTTGTGCCTTATTGAGTGGAGGTCATTTTTCAGCCTTATTGACTTCAGCAATGTCACATTGCACACTGCACCTAGTAATTCTTGAGATTCCATTCGGTTTGAAGTTTTGAAAAATGTGGGCATTTCTTACAGCGTTGCATGTCTGAAGTTCATGTTTAAGTTTCTCCTTTAATTTGGCAGTTAATTTGCATCTTTTCCCTACATGCTTTTTCCATCCCCTTTGGTTGTTGGCCACAAAACACTTGAATGTATTGCAATCATGTTTTAAAACCTTTTGATTTCAATTTCAAAATATCAATTGTTTGGCACTTTTTTTTTTTTTCCGCATACCTAAATTGTGTGTAGCGTGAGTGCTGGTAGCAGACAGTGGTTCCAGCATCAGGAATTTTTGTCGTCATTATGTCATAAGGTACTGTAAGGTGCTGCAGGGCTTGAGGGCCCTGGAAAATCAGTCCTCAAGATGTTTAACAAGTTCAGGATGTGTTTGATTTTGGTGTTTACTGTGACATTGCTCAGCACTGAAAATACAACTACACTTACAGGAAACAAAAGTACCAGTTTGTACCTTCGAGGGTGCACTCACTTGTCACTAGGGCTGTACCCTCAAGGGTCTGCCAGCTTATGTTCCTCAGAGTCAATTTCTGTACTTAATTGTACCATTAGGGGTACATTGTTTGTACCAGGACTGGGCCTCTTTTCTGACAGTGTAGTTAATGTGGATTTTCTGAGGGACATTTAGCTGAGCTGATATGATCGCATACTGAGAGTGTATCCCAGCCCTCAGGTCTACTCTGCCTGACCTGGACAACATGGATTAGTTATTGGCTCTTAGTCATTAAAGGAAGCTAGAAGTAGTTGATTAAATGAACAGTAATTTAATTCCTATGCCTATTTCTGGTTTAGCTTGCATAGAATCTGACGTTATGTAAAAGCAAACTGACTGCAATCATAATATATTATGGTTCAACAGGCTTGTATTGCAGTTAATTAAACCAACATCCCCGACTGGTTGTTTTGAATTTAGCACAAATTTTTTTTTAAATTTCCTCTGTCGTCATAATATAAAAAAAACCCCACCAAATTAAGACTCATATTCAATCATTTTATACAAAATGTCCATGTAAACAGACAATTACAAAATGACATGTAAGGTTACATAGAATGTCGATCGTAAAAGCAACTTCAATTGAACATGCTACTCAGCCATAAGGGTGGCGTCATTCACTCAGCTCAAGTGGAGTGTTACAATAGTTCCATTTTCAGGTAAGATGAGATTTGTCTATGCAATATTTCACTGCATAATGTAGGCAAGTAGTCAACTGTATATCCATTTTTCAGATTACAGCCATCACTCTTCAGAATCACTTTTCCAAACAAACACCCTGAGCTTATTTTGCATTGCAGACCTTCATTTTGGAAAAGTTGAATTACTCTGTTGCACTAGGCAAAGGAACTTGATACCTAGAAGTAATCATGACAAGGATTCAATTAATACTTAAAAGGCAGACAAAACATTAATAAATACATTCCTGTTAGCATGTTTTGCTGTACAAAAATGTAAAAAAAACAAAACTGCTAATCAACCATAATTCACTAACATTTCACATAGATCAAACCTATCATTCTCCAAGTTCCTTTAGTTTTTTTCCATTTTTGAGACTTCAAAACCCTAAAAATCGCTAATTCAGGACCTACACTTGATACTTCATGTGAGGCAGTTACAGACTGAGGCAGGTCACAGCTAACCCCTGCTGTCAGACAGCTGATTGGCTGGGAAGCACAGTACAGCCACATCCCAGGTGCGAGGCGTGCCGCTCACCCGCACATTCACTTTCCAAGCACTGGTAAGTAGAATCCAATTCCAGTGTGGTTAAACAGAAAATTTGTTGAGTTGGGTCTCCGTATGGAGCACTCATTCTTAGCATGCCCCACTTCCTGTGACCTTAAACTGACAGCAACCTTGTTTTAGTGGAGGAATCTCCTAAATATCATTCCAGAGTATAGACTCTGGGCACCAATGAGGCGACTGGCCTTCATTATTAATGACCTGTGTGTGTCAACATGCAAGAGTGGCAGTAGAGTACTCCATAAGAGATAGCAGCACCTATAAGTCAGTCCCTGAATATACTGGGATAATTAAAAAAAGAAAAGTGAACTGTGCACATTGGAACTGAGCTGCAGTGGATGAGTCGTTATGAAGCCCTACAGTCCAGCAAGGCCTAGAAAAGCTACTCACTAAGCAGACAGACGTCAGGTCAACACAGGACATGTATCATTCTTTCATGAAGGGTGAATGTGTTTGTGGAACACATACTTGCACTTTGACCTTGGATTAATTTTCCATTCAATTCTTTTATTCAGTTATTCTGCTCCCAGTTTAATAGCACAGTTGAGGTTTTTCCAACTCGCCCCACACTGGGCATAATCACCTCAAAGCAGTAGAAATGCTCCTCATATACAGCTTTGGTGAAGGCAGTTGTTGTCCTATCACACTGGAGGTGTGGCACAGCTGGTGACTGGAACACCACTGATGTCTGTCACACTTGAAGGTGGTGGCTAATATGGGCCACTGGAGATTCACCAGTCAAGCATGAGGGAAAGGGAGAGGAAAGAGCCTTTCTTCTCTTCCCAAAACAGCCCACCTAACTCAGTCTGTATCCTTTCTCTACACTGCAAGCATCTTCTGACATAAAACCTTCATCCGTCGTCATCTTGAACAGAGCCAACTGGGTGATAAATCTTGGAATTTATGAAAGGTGGGCTGTCAAATTCTAGAATGACAGGGGGCATGCTGTGGACTCTTAGTGGGTCAGAACACCAGCAGACTCCTGGAAGTAGGACAAGGGCTTGAGGAGTGTGCTCACCATATAGGACCACAAGTCATTTGCCACCTGGGACTGAGCAATGAAGATATGCCAGACGAAAACCAGCAGGAGAGTGTTACAGGTGTAGCAGATGTTCCTCAGCCTGGCCAGGACATAGCAAGAGAGTTAGGAGGCTTTGTATTCAGCAATAAACCATGCACAGCATTTTACAATTGGGGTTTTCTAAACATAACCAAAAGCTTTAGTTATTCAAAGAATATCAACAGCTGGTAACCACGTTAAGATCCTAATAGGGAGTAAAATGTTACCGGCTTTTATCCATGAATGATATGCCTACTTTTAGCAAGCCATTAAAAATTCTCCCACATTATAAACAAATAGGATCATTGACACCCCATATTGTATATGGAAATTAGCCATGGAGAATAGCAGTGAGGCTAGTGGAATTCTGGAATACAAATGTTCACAGAGAGGAAGTGTGTACTTACTTCTTCAGGTGTTGTTTAGCTGCTGGAATATCTGCCATGTCCTCATTCAGGATGTACTTCTTGGCACCTATGCAGTATTTCTCCATGTACTCTAGCCAGTTCAAATGGCCAACATCAAAATTAAAGTTCTGTGGGGCACATCAGATTAATGTATTGAGGATTATGGTCCAATATTATGTCATTAATCACAAATTGGGTTGTATGGAAGAATCACACGCACTGCTCTCACACATGATCATCACATGAACTTCATAACCATCTGTCTATAATACTTCTAGCTCAGTCTTCCACTCCTTTGTTTCCTCCATTCTCTACTCAAAAGGCTTACTTTGAGACTAGCAAAATGGGTGTGTCTGAGGCCTTTTACAAGTGCTCAAGTTTATCCTTAAGGCTATAATCATCCATTTGTCTTTCAAAACCACTTATACAGTACATGACTGATGAAGACCCAACTTCTATAAATGAATTTAAAAAAAATACAAGAGTTTCAAAAACTTAAAACCCCTCGAAACCATGAACTGGCAAATTGGAAAATTTAGTGTTCCTAACTGTTAAAAGCTATGATGAGAGGAACATTCCCTACCTGCTGGTCCTCAGCACTGAGCTGGCCCTTCAGCATGTCCAAGTTCTTGGAACTCCAACTCCACTGCCTGACAGAAAAGTACTCCAGCAGCCCAGCTGCCTTATGCAGCTTCTTGTAGAGTTTCATCATCCTGGCGAATGGGGTCACAAGACATTTTAACATCTTACTGAATTGCTTATGCTTTGAGATATGCATGCTTCAAAGAACATTAACAAGATATCCTTTGAGTAAATCAATGTTCCTTTAGCAGTGCATGAGCATTAGTCAACAGGAACCTAGCAGTAGGGTTGTAGCAGATACCCCTATACTGTCAGGGTGAGACGAGTTATATTTTGCTTACATTGGCTCGTTTCCAGATAGACGTAGGTAGGTGTCATAGGCCAGTGCAGGGACCTTGTGGGTGAATAGATTCCAAAACCGATTGCTCAGGTAACTAGAGGTGAAGTTTGCATTTGGCCTCCGAAAAGCTTTGTCCAGTGGTATCTGCTTAAACGTCGACATTACGCTGCGTTCTACGAAGAATAAGACAAAGCTTCATGAATCTGCTGATTATTTAAAATTACAGAGGATTGTAATGCTACCTACCTAGCCACCACCAGTACTGGAGAATAAATTCAATTTTATCCATACACCACATGAAAGGAATAGTTTCAAATTCATGTACTTTTTTGCCAGCAGGGGGCAGTCATATCATTATTGATAGCCACTGATAATCATAACTAACTGAAGTCCGCAACAAGCCTTTAGGAATGTTGAACTCAGAATGAATATTGAGCTAAACAAATACAGTAATACCTCGGATTGCGAGCATAATCGTTCTGGAAACGTGCTTGTAATCCAAAGCACTTATATATCAAAACAAATTTTCCTATTAGAAATACTGGAAACTCAGATGATTCGTAAAAAAAAATATTAAAATGATTCATACAAAATATATAGCAGAAATACAGAAAACAAATTAACCTGCACTTTACCTTTGAAAAGAATTGTGGATGGCGTGAGGGAAACAAAAGAGGAGAAGAGGAAGGTTATTTTGTAGGACGACTCACTATAACTAACGGAATCACTGCCATCTGTTGGCTCACTGTAATCTTTTTCTTTTTGTGCGACTTTTACAAGGAACCTATCCAATGACAGTCGCTTTTGCGGAAATGTGACATTGCATTGTCGTTAAACAGATTCATCACTTGCACTGCTACACCCTTATTCAGGTGGTGTTTTTCTACTACATTTTGACTATACGAGTGAGGCACGCCGACTGAGACTGAGCATGGGAAACGATTACCCACAATCCCACAGAGAGAGAGAACAACCATTTGCTCAGTTGTGATTACGTGACGCTAGGCAGACAAAGCGTATACATAATACTTGTATTGCAAGAACTCGCTCTATCAAGTTAAAATTTAAAATTTTTGCTTGTCTTTCAAAACACTCGCATACCAAGTTCCTCGCAATCCAAGGTTTTCCTGTACCATGGATACTATGTACAATAAGAGCCCATCTCTGCACCAGGCAATTTATAATTATATAATTTATAGCAACCTATCCAGTTTGTACTCCTCAAAATTATGACATGGTCTCACTACTTAAGCCTTTCAGCAACAATAAAGAATAGGTGCTGAATGTACATACTGTAAACATGCAGTTCTTCTCATTCGAAAACAAAGTCCTCCATTTGAATGCACCATGGCCTTTAGCCAGAATCAGACACAGATGCACAAGTTTAATAAATAAACTAAGGACGCATTTCCACCACACAAAATACGGTACTTCTGGTATGGCACTTTCACTTTTCCATTGGCTTCCGGTCAAGTACCAGTAACAAAAGTTCCAGTACCGAAAGTGCCAAACCAGCTGGGGTACTTCTTTGGTACTTCAGTACTTTGAAGTGGGACTTGAAACACTTTGTAGATTAGAGGCAGGCTATTAGCATAACCAAACACACAAATAATGATAAACGAAGTAAAAAAAAAAATGCAATTTGGTCGTAAGAACACACAATTTTGTTATAATAAATATTGGGGTATTTATAAAATAAGAGTTCATAGATTTCTCACAAACCCGTCTGAGTGATTTAAACGGCAAGGATGAAAATGATTACAATTGAGAAGGTATGCAGTGCTCCTGCAAAAGCAGTGGGGGTAATCTTTAAGCTGATTTTTAACACATAAGAATCTATAAAAGGAATAATTAAAAATGCAAAGCTTGCCAAGTTTTCCTCCCCTACAACAGAGTAAAAATATTTTAGCGAAACTTTAACTCACATGCTTTAGACCTAATGTCTGTACAGAATTGAAAGAAAAAAAGTTGCGTTTTAATATAGCTGACTAGCGATGTAAGAATTGGCTGTGCATAACATGTAATGCTGGTATTGATATTGCACTTTATCCAGCCCTATAATATACTACAGCCATTTTTCAAATTCAGTACAAAATACCCTGCCTCGTTTTGTGATGTCATTCAGCACCGGTACCAGTTTTTACACCAGTGGAAAACTAACACTTTGAAGTACCATACTTTCTGTATTTTCAGTGAAGTACCAAAAGTTTGGTACCTGGTGCAGTGGGAAAAACACCCTAAATGGAAGACACTTCATAAAAAATAAAAAAAAAGTCAGAATCATTTGGAAGTTTCGATTTACATTCTAAAGGAATAAAAAGTTCAATGGGTGCAATTCTTAGTAAATATCAATAAGTCTGAAGATAACAACCAAATAAAACTTGCTTAAGATGACAGGTTTGTCAGAGTTTAACACAGTCAAACTCACCTATGTCTCCCCAGAGGATGGGGTTGACACCACCTGTTGTGCAATTGTAGACTAGTGTTGACTGTGGTCTGAAAGAGAAGGGCAAGTGAAGATAAATACTCGAGGACCATGAAGGAAAAAAACTATAAAATTAGGTTCAAAACTAACTTGCGAATTCTAGGATATGGGAAAGAATTACTTTTTTTGAAAGTGACATTTTATGTGTTAATCAAGTCATTGACAGATGCCTTAAGGGAAAGCCCACTCAGTGCCAGCAGAAGATGCTGAGGTTACTTCTGGTTTGGGTCAAATTTCAAAATGAGACCACAGGACATTACTCTACCTCTGCACAGCAGTATACCACCCGGCAGCCAGCATAAGGTTGATGACCACGTCAACGGGGATGATATCAGCCACAGCGTTGTTGTCGGCCATCATAGTGCGCATGACACCCTTTCCTGCCTGAACACCCACAGACAGAACACCAGGAACATTAGTCTGAAGAAAACCTCAACAGCACAGTGCTCCACAATACTGCCTGCTATCTCGCACATACTTACTGCCACTAGGACTCCACTTGGGCCATTTAGGTTGTCAATCCAGCCCTAGAGAACATTAGAAGGAAAAGTTCTACAAATGCTCTAACATAAGCCATTTGACAAAACTCCTGAACCCTAGAACTTTGACATCATGTGAATATGGGACATGGTCTTAGGAAGGTAGGTGAGCGTAAGGTTACATAAAGAATGGTACTTACAGGGAACGGCTCCCGCCAGCTGGCCACTATGATGGATGGCCGGACTATGGCAGTATTGAACTTTTCACCATGCTGGTTGACTATGGACTCAGCTAGAGCTTTGGTAAAAGTGTAGGTGTTCGGCCAGTCCGCAAGAAGACGCAGTGTGATGTCATCTACAATGCTGTCATCCATCCACCTGCATGGCCATAACATACAAATCTTATATCTTGTGCCTTTAAGCACTGGGTAACATTAGTCTTCATTGCAATTGATACCCAGTCTAACTACTAATAAAACCACACACACCTATAATCATATCTATCTGGGAACCACCCATTAATTTCTATGGGAACAATGCAAATGCTAACCATGACAACTTTAACCCCTACCCAGCCCTAACCTTAACCATAGGTAACCAAACAAAATAGAAGTGTTTTTGCATTTTTAGTTTTTTGATTGTGGTCACAGATTTTTGGAAAATCAAGTTCCCAGGAACCTGGTCCCCATAAGGTTAAAAAAGGGTGTTATCTGGACCACACACACACACACACAATGCTACAATGATGTTAAAAATCCTTGCCAATCTTGAGTATCAAGACAAAATACATAATTTACAATTGGACATATCATAAGTATGGCTATACAGCTACGTGGGACCAGGGGTAAATTATGTCATGTCTGAGCGGAACTCACTCTAGAGAGGAGAGGAGTATGTTGGGTTCCACAGGTGAGGGATAGACGACATCTTCAATGTGCTTGTGGTTACAGTGGGCATAGGCAGTGGAGATGTGGATAAAGGCCTCCAGCTTGGGCATGTGCTCGGCTAGGCCTAGGAGCTCCTGTGTGGCTGCCACGTTTAGCCGCAGGGCACGTCTGTTGACGGCAACAGAGCATGTTATACTCAACACACCCCATGAATGTGCTGTGACATTTAAGCAGGTCCCCACACAAAACATTTCCGGCAATTTAAATGCGTCACCTCACATCCAAACAAGATATTTGCATATGTATGTGTTTCTGGAAGAGAATAAAGCCTTGCAGCACACTAAATTTACAATCTTTCAGACTGTTTTTCTATTTAGAGGAAAAGACAGAGGATATGTACGTTTTAAGAAGATTCAGATGGACAGAGATGCAGTGTGTTTGTGATGCCGACTAGGCAGAGTGACTCACTTAAGGGGTTCATCGAAACGGATGGTAGCAGCGCAGTGGAAGATGACGTGGATGTGAGCTTTGAGCATGTCCTCATCTTCAGTACTGAGCCCAAGTCCGGGCTGCATAAGATCACTGCTGATTGGTACGAACTTCTGCTGGAAGTCAGTACTGACCTCCTTCAGCTTGGAAAAGAGCTTCAAGACAAGACATACACTTTACTCACATTACACAACACTGAAGGCTCATCAAAAGGCACAATCATTGTCATCAAGAACACACCCGAAAAATACATTATGGACACAGAGCGCAAATCTCAAAACCAGAGAACTTAGATTCCCTCTGCTTAAAACTGAATTCATTATAAGCCAAATGCTCAAAAAGAATCATGGAGGACTGCAACTGAGGAATTAGTGTACAGAGTAGTGGTATTCAGCTGATACAAAGCCCAAATAAACCACACCAGTCACAATCCAAACAAGAATATCTAAGCACACGCTTGCACAATAGATTAATTCTTTCAGAATGATGGCCAATGACAAACTAAAATGCATCCATTGTGAATGACGAGACCACAGGAACAGCTCAACAATTACAGAAAACATTTTAAAATCAATTTCTATAAAAACCAAGGTTGCAACAAAGTACGCCAAGCATGAATTATTAGTAGAAGGATGGTTCTTTGTGTCAGTTTTGTTTCAGCATTTGGGAGCAGACGTTTGTCAAAGAAAGTGCTTCACAACGACCGTCTCATTCACACTCTCAGGACCATGTCCTGCTCTTCAGGAGCAGACAGAACAAACAACTGAAATGCATTGAGGAGTTCAAGGCTGACGTGCATATAAAATGTAGCTACCCCCCCCATTCATTAGAGACCAGTGAGAAACCTCACAAGCTTAGAATTAATTTACACGCCATCTTCTGCTTTAGTATTTGAATTCTTAATATTTTTATACTTTACATTTCTCTTCATTAGAGGAATCCCTGATTCCATAGATAAATGCACCACATCTCTTTGGAGATTTAACATACTTTCATTCCATTTAGAAAGCAACACTACTGCACTTACTAATCAAGTACTTGTCCTAATAACTTCTGAATGTTGTTTGATGCGTTTAGAACTGTATACACTGTGCGGAAAACTGCTTTGCACTGCCATACAGCAGTTTGTGCAAGTGAAAGCGTGAAAGTGATCTTCGTGTGAGCCATCATTCAGGGGACTCAAAAAAGAAAAAAAAAAAATAATAATAAATCTCCCAAGCAAGAAATACAAGGTCAACATTCCAAGCTTCACAATTTGTAAGATGGTTACAGAACAGGGGTTGGGGTAAATTGGTTGCTAACCTTGGATTTCAGCATGTTATCAATACGATCTTTAGGTGACTGGTTGGCCTTGGGCCTAACCAGGATGTAAAGGGCATTGATGTCAGGGCAGGAACGCAGCAGCTTTTCCACCAGGACCTTTCCCATGAAACCTGTAGCCCCGGTGATCAGGATGTTCTTCCCAGCATAGAAGTCTGCGATGGAAGCCATGTTGCAGGTCCGTCTGTCCTGGTCTCGATTTACACACCTGCAGGGTTAAGCATTTTTTTCCCCTCAATTTGTTAAAGCAAAAATGCATGTAAACAAATGTTTACTATTTCTCAAATGGACAATTCAACTAATAGTCCATAGAGAGAATCAACACCATCAAGTTTCCCCCCCCCCCATGTCATAGCAGTGTCTATGGCATGGAAAATTGACCACTGTGGTACAAGGAGAGCTCTCATCTTCCCAATTTAGCAAGGACAGTACAGGCTGCAAAACTAGCATGGCTCATACTCTCTCTGAATCATGTAATTTGCCCATTACCATCACTGCAGGATATCTGTCTGCTGTGTGAAAGCATACAATAGGAACCCACTGCGCATCTGAACTAAGGAATAGTGTTTCATACCAACCGGGGTGGGCGGGGGGGGGAGGCACTGCCTTTCTATGACAGTGCTACCTGCCAAGTAGCAGTACATACAAAAGGAAGACAGACAGGTAAAACTGGGTCACAAATGTGTGTGTGTGTGTGTGTGTGTGGGGGGGTGACAGTTGCACAACGTGCTATTCAGATGCTGATTAATGCCACATGCACGTCTTCCAAGTTTCAGGGTGGATTTTCACAGAAGTATGTCCTGGTTCAGCTGGTTTTGGGAAACCGCGCATGACAAATAGCTGCTGAACATACACTGAACCTAGCCGTGCATGATCACATGGAAGCCATCAGAACTGCGACCCGCACTGCCAGGCTGACGGATAGAGCACCAAACCAAAGACCGTCCACTCGCTACAAGTCAGTTTAGTCATTTCCCTCAGAAACATTATAGCTACTGGCAAGTTTTTCCATAAGAGTCAATATGGAAACTAAAACCATCTTTTAAAATGAGACTCAACCATCCCAAACTGGTCTACATGTAGCTATGTTCCCATGCAATTACTCTGCAATACAATGGCACCAAGCCATATGAGTTGGTAATTCAGATGCCAGTCAAGCTGGTTGCCCATAGTACCATTAAACTGAGCAAGTCATGTTAGTAACTTCTGTTCTTATGTAACGTGACACTGCGCAGGATTCCTATAACATTACATGAACACTCAGCCCTTAAAAATGCCTCTGAAGGCATTTAGGCTTGAACAGGGAAATGGAAATTCCTTAGTATTACACCACCCAACAGTACGCAGCTTTACCTTACACACAGTCGCAACCGTAAATGTTTTTAAAGATAATACTTTACCACTGCTTATACAGGCCAAATACAAATTCAGTACAGGATAACCACATTAATTTCACAACATCCATTAAAACCTAGAGTTACAGCCCCTACGTCAGGACCAACCAAAACACAATCCAATGAATCAGACTTCCTAGATGAAACCACTGACCATCATTGCTTTATTACTTCTAGTCCACAGTGCTGCCTGGGCAGAGAGCTGATAGCAGCGTATAGAACCGGCTTGAGCAGAAAATGAACTGACCAGCAACGCTTAAAAACAGTCCTTTAGTGATCGCCAACATGCACACGGTAGCTTTAAAGTATAAAACTATTTAAACGATCGTTGTGGGTCGGTGTCTTTCCCAGACACGCGATTTTGCTTAAATCAAAGCTTCTCAGACTTGTTCCTCGGGGCAAACAAGTTTTCCGTTGTTGCGGGTGTTTTTTTCCCCCAAGATACCTTAATCCATCTAGTTAAAAAAATACAGATCTAAAATGCGCATCTTAATTCAAAGTAATGTTTTTTACGAAACGGAACAAGACTATGAAGATACTTTATCGCCATAGCCTATATACTATAATACTTTTATACAAGTCAATGTTTGTGACTTCGCATATCAAAAACGTGAATACGCGCAACACTATTTTGTACAAAATAGACATTGAAAAAGAAAAGTCTAGCCGTTATTTAAATAAAAGAAATTGTGACCACTACTATCGACGCACTCGTCAACTCATTCAAACACAATCGAGTTAATTTCATTCGGGTTTAGATCGCTACCTAAACCAAATTATGGACTTTAACATTTGAATCACGACCATTCCTACCCATTATAAACACGAAGTTTCACCGGCAATCTCAGTTAATATAGCACATTAGACCTTGCCTTCCTATGAGAATAAAAACAGCCACCGTCCTTACCTGCAATCCCGGTTAGGCTGTGTAACTGGGATCTCCTCCTGAATGCGGAGCCGAGTACGGGGAAGCCGAATTTTGTTGGGAGAGGGCGTGTATTCCCCCCTAATTTAAAGAACACACCCTTTCCCCCCACACCTGCCCGTAAGACAGGAGCACGGCGATCTTCCAAAGTCTTCAAACGGAATTAAGTACTTCGCTTTCTTTCACATTACGCGTTTCATTGGAATCTGGCATTTTAGAAACACTGTTATTGAAGAACTGCTATTTGTTCTATATAAATTAAAGGACGAATATTGCAAGGAATTTAGAAAGATGATTATTATTTCAGACCGCTTCTAACACAGCAAAATGAATATTTGCACTTTTCCCTCAATCCGTCTTTATATGGTACTGGGTCGCGGAGGTTATATTTTTTATTTTTGGAATTCCTCTCAGTTTGAATAACAAGTAGTTCATCCTCTTTCTTTGGACTCTTTGAAAACTAAGTTATTCGTACCATGTTCATTTAATAAACTGAGGAGACACAACTGAAACTCTGCCATAAGCTTCCCATTATGATGCAAATGTTGTTCGTTTGCGTAATTAAACCTGCAATTCGGAAAGTGCACATTTGACACACGGAAATCTAATAGAATAGTTTCACTCTTTTCACACGTGGCGACGAGGACTTCACAACACCCCCGGATAACCCTGCCCTCTTTTGATAAGAACAATTTTATCTATTGTATAATGATACTATCAATATGCCTCTAATCATGCGCACGAAAAACGCAAAGAAAACATAGAGCAAACAATATTTATCTATGACAACCTGCCTACATTAGGTATTTTATTTTGCCTTGCAACAAGCAAGTTTCAACACCGTTTCTGGTGTTTCAAGCAATGAAATAGTTGTTAAGATGTTGGTTTGCGAAGTTTTTTAATATTTTAAATTTAAGGGTGTGGATCATGGCTAATACTTAAATTGTATTTGTAGCATGATATAGCGCTATTTCTGATCAGTTTGATTTCAGATAATCATTAATGTTTTTGGATCTTGGATCATTATTGAGAACTCACTGATTACCAGTGAATTTACATGTTGTTCATTGTATTAATGATAACATCAGTCTATGCTAAGTAGCATTTCTGTTGTTTTGATTAAGTTATAAAATGTATGTGCATATTTGTATGGGGGTTCCTTGTGAGTTTTCTTCCATTGTATAAGATTAAGATTACAATTGACTTTATTGACCGTGGGGGGGGGGGGGGGGGGGGTAATTCTGGTCCAGGTTTACACAATGCTCAGTCTTGCTTGGTACTTTATACTTCAGGTAGTTCTTTTCCTCTAAATGTGAAACAAATTTAGGCCAACATTCACTTTCAGTACTTAGTGGAGGACACAGCAGTGACTCAGGGCGACAATACAGAGGGCAACTTTTTGAGCAGTGTTGCTGGGCAATGTTGCTTGGGCACTTTCTCATTGGTATTAGGCAACAAATTTCTATTCAAAAAACTTAGGCTTAGGGCAAATCTTTGTGATCAACCAGAACCGGATGGGTTACCCTTTGCCTAATCTGGCTGGGTATTGCTTGGTAAAATTGCTCAAGACGCTGCCCTGTGTAGCATCACCTTTAAGGTTTGAAAAGGACATAAATGAGCACATTTTTTGACACAAAAACACAGTGACCTAGAGTTAAATATCCAAAATCTAGACTATTCTTTACCTTTATATGGCACCAGAGATCAATGCGTAATTGATGTATAGAACATAGGAGACAGGTTTTTTAAATGTATTTTGCTTAAAATTTGATTTACAGTGTAATATTTCAAAATACCGAATAAATGCATTAATTGATGATGATCTGGGACACATGCATGGGGATGATGACATTGATGACAAAAAAGCTTAATTTCATTTGTGGGGGGAGTTTCCCCTTCTAATTGTTTATTTATATTGAATTGGGCACTTTAAGATAACAGGGAAAGGGGGCCACCCAAAGCAGCGCAAAGTCAGGTGGCCAGCAAACTCACCTATGCCAATTTGTTATATAAATCGAGTTTCTTGCTAAAGTACCTAGACCCCGGTGTCCAACCCCACAGCACGTACAGCTTTATCACAACCCATTACCCATGTCTTATGCTTCCCACCTATCACCCTTTCACCCCCTGTTAATTTTGTGAAGCCTGTCTCTATTTTAATTCCCCAAATGACGTCCTTGTGTTTCCCTCCAAATGGGATTCCATCTCCATCTATTACAGTCCTGCAAGCACCTTACCCGTCACCTGTGATATCAGTCCACAGATCCTGCTCTAGTTGACTATGAACCTTTTTCACCATTCACTGTATTATAAAATAGGGATTCCAGCATTGCACATATGACCAAGTCTATTGCCATCTATGAGGTCACCAAAGACGGGACTGCAGTAATTTTTTTTAAGACCTGAAAAAAATCTAAGCTAAATACAACCAAATATATAATCAGTGGCTGAAAACTTCTCCTCCATGACAAGTGCATGCTTAATTCAGTGTAGACTTGTTATTTAATGTCTGCTGAGAGCAGTGAGAGAGGACCAGCATCAAAGAATTTAAATGTAACTTACAATTCAAACACCAATAAAATTACTTTCTTGTACAGTATATGGCAACACCCCCCCCCACCCCAGCACCTAGTCATTTCGTCACCCCCCACCCCCTCCTCACTATTTGTCAAACCCTAACTATGGTCTCGCTTCACTGGATTGTAGCTAATTAATAGATGCACAGATTTTGATGTAGGCAGAAACAAAAACACACAAATTCAACCTGGTCTTCATGTGGGATTCTTGTTGTGTCACTTTTCAGATTCACTCATTTCAATTCTCACATAGACAATGTGGGCAGGCGCACAGCAAATGTCAGATGAGAGCTTGGCGTGCTGTGCTTCCTGCACACACAAAGCCACAAGAGTCCATGCCTGAAGCTCCACCGGCAACGCCAGACCTGTCACACGGCTTCGTCCAGGAGATGCAGGACATGTAGAAGTGCTGTCCTCACACAAGTCTTCAGGTATTTGACACGTTGGAAATGCCCCGCAGAGAAGGAGCTGCCATACCATTAATATCCCAATGCTCGCAGGGCAGAGGTGGCTGGTGTGGACCCGCCCCAAGTTATAGTTTATTAAAGTAGTTGTAGTAGTCAATATAATATGTTATATGCAATTGATCGCATCATGTTAATCATACTTATGTTAATCATACTAATCATATGTTAACCATGTATTTTCAGCGATTCAGGGACAATATGTCAATGTGTTAATCATTAATCAATGGAACACCCAAACATTAACACTGATTCAATGTCATATAATTAATATCTATATACATATCTCATGTAGAGTCTAGAAGCCGAGGCTGTCTCCAGTAAGTTCCGTACAATGGGTGGATTTTACCTTGCTACCAAAGTGAACCAATGGAGCAGGAGAATTGTGTTTGTTATACGTTTCAGCTTAGTTTGTTGATGTTTCATGACCAATCAGGACTTAGAAGTCCTGGGAGTTATGGTTTATCTACTGGTTGCTCTGTGTGCCGGGGGTGACTTGGTACCAAGGGCCAGAGTGTGATGGGAGCACTTTGCTGAACTTGCTGGAATATAAGAGATTTTCTTTACTCACCAAACTAAGAGGTCCAGACTTTTATTCTAAGTGCTTGATTTATAATTTTTCTACCACATCGGTTTTTAGCAATAGCTGTGTATTTATACAGGTATTCATTGCATATCTTGCTTTTGAGAGCATTCTAGAGATGCTGACGCCGAGTATGTTACCATCATCTTTAGGAAACATGCTTCAGGAAATTCCTGGCCAAAATGACAATGTATTTATTTACATCCATCTGAGAAGGGAGAGGCAGGTATTAGAGGGTTCTGCTGCTGATTTTATATGCAAATAACCATAACTTGTTAACTTAAACCGTTCTGCTTCATTTTGCTTCACCTTTAATACCTTTAAATATCAACCTTAGTGCTTTCTGTTATTTAGTGATCACTGTACTGTAAATATATGTACGCCAGCCAGCTTTTAGTCAACAAGCTTCTGAGCTGCTCACCAGTTAGATATTGCAATTATAGGATCATCACCCTGCGTTACAAAACAGAAAACAAAGAAAGATGTATATTGAGGCAAGGCAGCAAATCTGAAGTGGGCAAAATCTATTTGCCACGATGACTAGCTACAAGGTTTACTTTTTATATCCTTTTACCTGTGATTGTTCTTTCATTCCGGTAGAATCTAAAGTGCAGGATGCATCACTAGGTGTAGTAATATGGATGGGTTCAGGTAACTTGACAGGTAAGTTCTATTCTGTACAATAACATGTACAATAATATTTCAAGTATTAATAGAAAACAAAAACATTCAATATAGTATTATCCATTGTATCATCTCACTTTAAGCATTTTGACAAAATGAATGTATTTCTAGAGTAAAATCATAAATAACTAACAGCTGGGGACATTGAATTGTGATTGCATCCACCTAGATAGATGAGTTCCTTTCTGGAAGCGTTTGGGGCAGAACAGGGGGCGCCGTGGACATGCCAAACCATGTGTATTGTGTACATGAATGCAGAGCATGTGAAAACGATACATTACATAACAACGAAACAGAGTCATGGTATCGACTAGAATATGTATTCCTTCTTACAGGACCTACCAGACTGTTCTTTGCTGAGCAAGTAAAAGCTGTCTCCCAATCTTGCGGATTTCCCCTCAATAACATCAGAGAGACCAGGCATTTTCTGTTTGCATGTGCAGCCCGGCTTGAAGTCCAGGCACTTGTTACCTTGCAACTAGACTATTGAAACTCTCTACTAGCAGGATAACCAGCTTGTGCTGTCAGGCTGCTGCAGATGATAAAATGCTATACCAGCTTGAATCAGCACGTACTGTATGATATTCAATCAGGCTGAATACACTCATATTACACCCCTCCCTGTCTCTCTTCACTGGCTCCCAAAAGTCGCTCACATCAGATTCAAGTCTTTGGTGCTGGGCTTCAGATCCATTAATGGACAAAGATCCATCTCCATTAAGAGGCTCCTTAAGACCTACATCCCATCTTGCCCTTTTTGGTCAGCAAACCAACACCACTTGGAGATTTCTCCACTACGTGAAAATGTCACTCCAGCCATTTCACATGTGTGCTTCTTAGATGGTGGAATAAGAGACTGAACCACATTTGGTCATCAGACTCCCTCTCCACCTTCAAGAAACGCCTCAAGGCCCATCTGTTCCATGAATTCCTCTATTAGCTTGATGTCTCTTCAAATTCCCTCAGTGTTCTTATGTTGCACTTCTAGTCATTGAATAGTCATATTCTGTTCTTGCTTTCTGACTGGGCTTTCATTCTAAGCTCAGCCTAGCCACACTTACGCCTAGTTGACTCCTTGACAGCACCTTGTTTTTAATAAGATACCTGAGTCACCTGCATGTAATTTTGGACAACAGCATCTGCTAAATAAGAAGTATATGTAAATATAAATTGTTATTCTTGTTAGTTTTTTCACTTTTTTGTTAGGATGACAGTTGACTTTCTGACTTTTGTTGCTAGCCTGCTGTTCTTTGCCCTGCAGGGCGGGTGGAGAATTTGTGTACACAGATTAGACATTGACTTGTCTTCTGAGGTATTCCGTTCCTCATGGATGGTCTGTGTTCTACTTATGCTCTGCTGGTCCTGATGCAGGTAATATTTCCTCTTTGTTGTGGGTGCCCCGGCTGGTAGTGCTTTGTGGTTTGGTGTGGTTCTCCTGGTCTGCATTGGTGGATGTGGCCTGTTATTCTCTCTCCCAAGTGTTGAATTAGCTGTATACACAAAAATTATCCTGATTGTACTGGGCGATTTGGAGGGATGAGAGGCAAGCTGACCAAAGGAGAAAGAAGGCTGTTTTGCATAAATAAGCTTATCCAAAAAGTTAATTATTTACTTTACCTGTTAAGCAGGTAAAAAATACATCTTGCTGTACAGTATATGTTTATTAAAAACTCTGTAGTTGTTGCTTATAATGAAGCTACATATGAATTTCACACAGTTTCACTTGTGCCTGCAGAAGTCAACATGTTAGTATTGTTGACAGCAGGCTAGACAAAATAATGGAAACACCACATGAATAACTAATTTTGAAGTAGCTCATAATTACAAGCTTAGCTACAAGGATGAGTTGTACTAGTTTGAATGCTAATTAGCATTTAGCATGTGTCAGCTACAGGTCTAGGAAGTTTTCAATGCAACAAGAGCCAACCAACAAATGTCCAAAGGGACCAAATAGTCAGTACCAGAACTGCAGGTGCATTGGTTAAAAAATAGTCTCCAAAATATGACAGCATTTGCCAACCAAGAAGAACCTGCTTCAGCAAAGATGTTGCAGCTCACAGGCAGGGATGGAACACCATAAAAGTATGGCCTTAGATTTACCACAGAACTGAATCACACCCTTGTGATATCATGTGAATTTTAATACGGCAGAATTTATTGCAATGCCAGTGTTTGGACACTGCTTGACTACAAGGCCAATGCACAAAGATGCATAACCTCAAAGTGTTCAAGCTTCAGTTATGGTTTGGATGACCATCTTAAGTGACTTATTATGTGTGATGATTGCTCTGCTTGTTCTTCTAAGAAATATTAGGCTAGGTGCATCCTATGGTGTTCCCTCATGATGTTCCCATATTACATACACACACATTCCCATATCTCTAGACACACAAATAAATTCAAGAAGGTTTTCATTAACACCAGGATGAAATCAAACAACTTCCATGGCCTTCTAAATTTTATGGAAAGTTCATGGAAAGTTACAGTATAGAGCACATTTTCACCTCCTCCCCTCGAAAAAGGGGGCTCCTGAATATTTGTCTGATTTCAAACGACACATAGTTTAAGACTTGAGTGGCAACATTCCATGAAGGACTGGAGTTGTTATGAAGGCCGAGGGCAGCCCTACCCCTTTTTAGATCCTTGATATTAATATCGGAGGTATTTCCATCATTTGGTCCACTCCACATGGTTACATAATACCTACCTACCTATATTTTTACTCTGTTCTGATTTTAATATTAATGTGAATCATGCAATTTTAAAAATCATGCAATTTAAAAAAATCACGTCTTCATTGATTTTTACAGCATGTCTCAAATAATTTAAAATATATGGCAGTTGTACAAATAAATATGGGTAGGACCAATTTTCTAACTCAGATGAGCAATTTTTTAAGTAAAAGGTTTATGTGCTTGATTGTTCTTTTTTATTTCCTCATTACAGCACCACTTGACTTTCAACATTGTTCCCACAATGCCCGATTTGAACGTCACGAGTCAGTAAAGGTATTTTACGCCAAGGTGGAACTGTGTGTGTCAATCCACCATGAAATCACACTTAATAGCATATACTAGTTTGGTGGGGCAAAACTCAGAACATTTCACAAGAAAAAGATAAACAATGAATGATGTTTCTGAAATACTCCACACTGTGTTGAGGATTTATTTCACAGTATTTTAGAATAGCATACAGTAAACAAGATTTCTGCAAAAGTTAACATATTTTGAAGGGTTGCATTTCATAAAAATAGTTGCGACTTCCAGGTTTTTGTTGTTTTTTTAAAAAAAACACAGAATCTCATTCATAGAGATACGGCTTTACCGGGTGAACACACAGGGACCACAGCACAGTAACACTGATATGCATGAAGTCCATGTACATGCCGCCGTTGTCCACTGTTTGCTTGCTAGCAATCTAGAAAATGATGGTGGGCGGAAATCTGCACGCGGTCATCTCCGCCTCACGTGAACGCACGTATCACGAGTGTCACGAGTAGCTGGGAACACGCAATAGGAGTATGACACGGTGCTCATGAGTATGTCAGGGAGCGCTTGGGGATGGCGACCCAGCTCGCGCTCGTTGTCGTCCGCTGCTGTAAAGATCCACGGCCACCTCAGCCCTCTTTGCTGGTGCTCATGCTCCCGGAGGCTCTGGGACGATATGCCTGGATGGACTTCCACGTGGAACCAGTCTCACATTCGCACGAAGAGCAAGCTTTGTCTTCTTCATGAGGAAAGCTTTTCCATGAGGGCCAAAATCTGAATCGCACAGTTTGAGGAAAAAGACCTGCCTCCCCGAGCCAATTACCACCCACACTGAAGCTGGACTGTGGTTAAACCCACTGCCTGGGTCGCTGATCACAGAAATAATCACCAGCTATTTGGCACATAATGTAACAGAGTATGCAAAGTCCATTTCCACTCTACTGGTGTGTTGTAAGCACATGTTGAGGATGCCGGTGTGAGAGAAGCAGCCGGTGCCTTTGGGGTGTGCAGACCTGTTACCGGGCTGAGATTATGTTCCAAAGCCAGACCAATCACACCAAAGAAGGCAGGATTCCAATCTCCTGAAGACCTTGGTGAAGATCACACATCTAACAACATAAGAAAATTACAAACGAGAGGAGGCCATTCGGCCCATCGAGCTCGCTTGAAGGGAATTACACTAATAATTTGAAGTTGCCAGGATCTTATCTCAAGTCTACAGTGGAAAGGTACGCCTTGTAAATGTACACGTACAATTGCAATGCAATGGTCATATTATAACACATACATTTATAACAGAATGTTTGGGCTTTGAATTCCTTAATTAAATACACATCATAATTGGTCCACCTGCCTTTTCATAGTTTCTTATTCAACACTTCACAATCTACTTAAATCAGCATAAATGGTTCAGAAAACCATGAGTGTTTTTAAACAAGCCTCAGTCCGGTATGAAGGAGCTGTCGGCCACACAGTCCAAAGGCACCAGAACCAAGCCAGCTAACTCACAGCACACACTGCTCTGTAACTGCAATATAAGAACAGTATTTCTACAACATCATGAATAAATAAATAAACTACAACAATCTCATGGCAACAGTCTTATTTTAACTTGAATTTGGTAACATACAGGATAACTTTTCTGCTACAAACCTGTTCATTAGCTTAGACATATATATATAATTCTTTTTTAAACGCAAAGTGAACAGGCAAACATCAATATCAGTTCTGTAGAGCTTCTTGCTAAACCAGTCTTGACCAGGAGAGGGAACTAGAGAGCTCCCAGCATACTGCACATTTGCCATCTACAGCCATCTTAAGAACCCCCAGCACAGGACTCAAACTTGCACCTCCGCTTTGCAACTCCACACAGCTGAGGAACTACTGACATCTACGCTGAGGCGTGATTGTACAAATCAGCAGCATTCATGCTAGACACACTGCTAGTGGCATTAAAGACAGGAAGGTAAACCCTGGATTAAACAAACCATCTGGTGGAACAAAGACATTCAAACAGTTAATGCATTTGAGGAACCAGTAACAAACAAACATAAATTCCAACATCCAAATTTGAGTGTCCCGAGTGGCCCGTGCAAGTTCACTCGAGTGACTCTGAAGCGAGACCTAGCCCCTCCCTCTGTAACCCTAAACCCCTCCCACTGCAACCCTAAGTGCCTCCCACATGCCATCTCTACCTAGCTTCGCAAATCCACAGATTCATGCCTATACTGCAGTCTCCGAATCCTGACCAGTCCCTAAGTTTAAGGCACTCAGCCCCAGCTTCCATGCAATAACGCATCTCTTTCTAAGGCCCTAAGGGCTCCCCCACTGTATCGTGGTCTGGGCTCTTTGGGGCCACAAAGGACGCACTCATTTATTTGTTTAATCGGACACATTAAAGAGTGGGCTGAAGCAAAAGTCTGCCATGAGCCCTGCAGTTCGCGAAAATATCTCAACAGAGCTTCAGTCAGCCAAGGACGAAACGGACAGATGGGTCCTCAGCACTGCGCCTTTAGCTTATTGGTTCAGAACTGTCATTAGCACAGTCAGGAATATTAAAATGACTTTATGTACATGTATGTATATTAATAGAATATATCTATACAGCTATATAATCCTTTAAATCTGTTAGCACTGACATGGTAGATCTCTATCTTTGTACAGTTTTAAGGCAGAGTTCCAATAATAATCATTGATAATCGCTGTCCTTTATTACAGCTTTCAGTCTACACAGATGCTGATGATAAAAAAAAATCAACTCTTCAACGTTCTCCCTCTTCATTAAGCAGACTCCTTAGCAGTTAATGCAATGGCTGCTGCGAGTCTGTGGTGAATTTCGTCAGTGGTGTAACGTGGCTCCTAATTGGTTGTTGAAGCAGCTGGTGGTAGAGGTTGGGACCACTTGTCAAACAGCTCCTGATTAGCTGCTGCACATGGTAACATTGGTATGTTGGCATTTTTTTTTTTTTTTTTTACAGGACTGGATGCTTCCAGTTTTTAAGGTGACTGGTGTAATATCTTAATTCAAAATACAATATAAATAAAAATGACATTTAAAAACAAATGGGTTAATACTTTTTTGCATCTGATGGTGGTCAATGGTACAATGGAAAAGCACTTTGTCAGGATTGGCCTGGCTTGGCTTGGCCCAGTGACAGTTGGCAGTATTTTTTCCAGCATCCCACACTTGGAGCAGAAGACCCGGACCGCTGTGTTACTGGACACTCCAGAACTCTCTTCTCCCTGTCCGAGTTCAGCTGCTGGAGCTCCTTGTGCTGCCACAGGTGGAAGGGATGAGAGATAGGTGGAAGCAGGAGATCTCCTACACAGTCTGCCCCAACAGAAGCAGTGCTGCTTGGATAAATGCTCTGTGCACCTCCTTTCACAACCAAGTTTGTGTTCAAGAACTTGGTGCCATTGCTAGGCTATGCTCAATTACCATTCCCCCAGTGGGTGGCGCTCTTTTCTCTCCCATGGCCTCCCCTAGACATTTCTCATGCTCTCTTATGTAGCTGGGGCTCCAGGATCATTGCGTTTTTCCATTCAGATTGTGGGTGTTCCTCTGCCATCTCGCATCAATGCCATTGGAGAGTGGTCCTGCCACTCATGGCCTTTCATCCCCTCCCATTCACACAGCCACTCCCACTGGGCTCGGCCGATCTGCCCCCCAACCCAGGCCGACCGTGTCGGAATGAGCCTGCTTTTCCGGGGCTGTGGGGGTACCCCGGCCTGTTCATGTACATTGCCTCCCGTGTCGCCTCCAGAGGGAGCAGCTGGTGGGAAATGGGGGGCGGAGCTAGATAAGATGAAGGCAATGGTATGGTCACAGTTTCAAGGAGAGGAGCTACTTCCGGCAGGCTTGGGGAGGCTGTAGGCTGAGCGTCCCCGGGGGTGGGGCTATCTATTGAGAGACAAGGCAAACTGTTAGTGACACCCTCACACAGGCACTGCTGGCCCAATCATATGCAGCTACGGTTTGTAGGACAGTTCTGGAAGGGTTGCGCTTCAAAGATTTGCTAAAGCAGGTCAGCACAGATCCTCACTGCTACCCACCACTGTCGAAACCCACATTTTTTAGTCCAGAATTACTCACCACAAACAGACCCCTGGAAAAAGCCATTGACAGCTGATTGCTACTCTCCCCCAGATTTTTAGATGGTGGATACAATTCAGGTATAAATAAGGCAAAAATAACAGCAAGGTATGTGATGAAGCGTGTCAAATATTGACCAATACTTCTATAATTATGAACGCCTGATGCCCATTTACAGATCTGTTATACTGTAATATGTACTTTCCGTCTTTGCACCTTAAGATTATGGAGTTGAATAGTAGGTGCAGGACTCCTTATGCATTAGCTAAATGTATCACTTCATACAGCTTTGCTCTTCCCGGTCATGCACACATTTTACATGTTCAGTTTCTATGGATATTAAAATTTACTAATATAACCTTAGAGCCACATAAGCATGGACCGCGGACCGCAGAGTGCAGCCGAACAAGGGGGGGGGGGGGGGGGGGGGGGGGGGGGGGGGGAGGTATGGAGGGGCAGAAAGTCAAGTTCACTCATCCGTTTGCTTTTGAAAAACTCAGATATAAGCTTCTGTCTCTATTTTTTTCAAAAATGTCAAAGTCTGCTCATATACATTCTTTTGCCTCAAAATGCATGCTTAGATTTGGCCGCTGCTGCTGCTAACGTAAGCAGTCGAAAATACAGATGATTGGTAGATATCAAATCTCAACACTAAGTGAGTAATCAATATCCTTCACCTCACCTAAAAAGCACATTTTTGTTTGAAAAAACAGGTGGATACATTTTGGGCTATCATTAATGAAGATTTATCAGTTTGCATCCAAATACTTGTCGGTAACTTTTTTCATAAGTTCTCCCCTGATTCCGCGGTCCATGCATATAACATCCTACGCAAACCCGAAACATTAATCCAAAACAATTATACAATTAAAAAAAGGAAAACAAAATTCCCAGAATGCCACAACGTATATGCAGGTACATGTAATCAGACAAAATGTGAACAAAAGTCCTGAAAAGGGAAAGACAGAGAAACAGAAAAACAAGGAGAGCAAAGGATTAGAGGGACGGATCAGCAGATCTAAGGTCAGAAACGCACTGTGTAGGACAGCCACAGTTTCCTATTTATTCCCACAGACCACCCCCCCCCCCATACCCCCAAACCTTACAGACATCACCTACCCCTACAAGCATTCGGTAGAGAGAGATGTCAGTACATTGAGACAAATTAGAACAGAGAGGTAAGAACACATGCAGAAGTTTACAAACCGTGTCTTTAGAGTGGCCCATTAAGAAGAAATAGGGGGAGCCATGCTTGTCACCTTTCATGCAGATGGAGTGGTTGGAAGGTACCATTCCTAAAGGGAGGGGAGGAACAGCCTACACCAATCATTGCAGCTAGGCCATAGAGACTAAGACAGACAGATACACCATTGTTAGTCCGGTAAAGGAAAGTTAATGTTAACAACGTAGCTTGCTGACAGGAAGAAACACTAAGTTTAAGGTTAATTAAATGGACATGCTAGATAAAAGATCATATTAGCTTAGCGTTATTAAAAGTTTTTAAAGCCACTAGACCAGTGTTCCAACTTCAGTATGTGTGGGTTACCACAGAAAAGGACCTGATCCCATCCTGTTTTGAATCAGTCATGTACCCCTGTGGGGCACCCACCATGATCAGGGACCTGCCCCGTGCCCCTCTTCAACAGAAGCCGCACCCTGCGACCCCCAGCCCGAATCAACTCGATGGCTCGGGCGTGGGTCATGTCACGTGTGCTCTCCCCATTAATCTCGATGATCTGGTCCCCGACCTGCGTAGGGTACAGCAGCCATGTGAGCCGAGTGCTGAGACAGCACCCAGCAGAGATTGTTAACCTATGCATCGCTAAGGTTAGCAATGAGTACAGCCACTCGTTACACAAATCTACCCGTGCTGGAATCCTGTCAGTGGGGGTAAATACTACTGAAAAGGTGATTAAGAAGACGTGTTTACTCGAGAGACTGAAAAGTACAAAACAACATAGCAGCTGAAATATGAGTACAAAATCTTTGGCAACAAATATTATGAATTTTTTTCTAGCTGGGCCAGACAGGCAAGATATTATATAAAAATTAATATAGAGATTTCAAATTTTAAAAAGTCATAAAAATCTAAACGACAGTTCAGAGAGCTACAAAAATGAATAAAAAGCACAAAGAAAATATGTCAGTGCGTTCTTTACTAAAAAGATGCCATCTTTACTGACAGGGGGTGAGTTTCCTGAAGGCTTCTTAACGCTACGTCGCTTGTTCTATTAACATAGAACTTACAAATGACGTAGCGTTAAGGCGGCTTCGGGAAACACCCAGGAATTTGAACACAAAGCTATGACCCCCAGCGTTCCAGGGCAACTATACTGTATTAATGGCCGGTTAAGGATCTGAGCGAGCAACGTTGATGGCAACCAGTGAAATTCAGCATGGACATCTGGGGTCCTGCCTTCAGCACAGGTAGCCAAGCCAGCTCACCCTCATCCTCCCGTTCCGAGTTGCGGCACCGTCCTCCGCTAGCCGCAGGACGAACAGGTCCATCTGGTATTCCCTCCCCCCACGAATACTGAACCCGAAGCCCTTGGCACTCTTCTCCAGCTCCACTGTGAAGTAATCAAAGGCCTGGCGAGACAGACACGCGGCAAACACGCGGGGCATCAGACGGATGCCAGAGCCAACTTAAACGTGACAAACCGCCATGTGACGCTTCATCCTTACAACTCATTCAGGGACGACACTCACAGTGAGGACTGTAAACAAGAGAAATGACCGTATTGAGAAGCCTAGGTGCCTCATGTGATAATAAAGCCTGTAACTGCAGAGAACATGTGCAAGCAATGGAGAGCATATTTGAATTAAAGGATTGCTCAGAATGACAGGAACAAGAAATGAGCTTCTAAAACTCATTTTCTTTTCAAATGCACAGGAGGATTACCCCGATTGGGATAAACTGCTGACGTTGTTTGTGTACAGTTTGCGAATAAAAATGTGCTAACCTGTAGCTATCTGTAGCTTGAAATTGTGTGATTACCTGTGGCTGTCTGTAGTCCGGAATAGGGAATTCCCGGGAATCTGGGGAGAGCTGTCTGTAATCTATTAGGGGTGGCTGGCGGTAATCCACTACAGGAGGGTGTCTGTAGTCCACAGGAGGCTGTCGGTAGTCTGTGAACAAGGGCTGCTGAATGTCAGGCTTGACATCTTGCCTCGCCTTCACCTCCGATCTGTAGCTAACACAAAGTCAAATTAAAGAAGACCTTGACGAGGTACATGTGTGCATAATCAAATACACACACACAAAACCCTGGTAAATTCTCCAAATAATTTCTGCAAATTAATTTATCCCAATAGCTTCCTCATCACCATGAGTTCGCACATCCTGTTGAGCTATCTTTATGTTATTACAGCATCCCTGTGGTTTCCTGTATTCTGTGAGCACCTGCAATGATACCATTACCAGAGTGCCATTTGATCATTTCAGAGCTGTGTGATGTCATATCACGCTACTCTTTGCTAGCTCTGGCATCGCCATACCTGCTATCATGGCCGTACATCTGGGACACTGGAGACACTGGCTGATTGGCTATCTGGCTGATGGGCTGGCTGACTATCTGGTTGATCGGCTGGTTGGGTAGCTGGCTGACGGGTTGGACGACCAGTTGGCTAACGGGTTGGACCACCGGCTGGGTGACGGGTTGGACCATTGGCTGACTGACCGGCTGGACCCCAATCTGGCTGACGGGGCTCTGCTGGAGAGCTGGGTTAGGCTGGGAAGCCATGGGGCTCTGCTTCTCGGAGCCCGGCGCAGAGGGAGGACTGCTCAGCTCTGTGAGAGACACAGCGACACACAGCCGTCAGAGATACATGCTAACTGGCAGATCTCAGGTGCAGCGGGCGTGTCGGAACCTGCTTGCCTTCCTGAGGGACCAGGCGCAGCGTGACACTCAGGCCTGCATCCTTGATGAGCTTCACAATGTCGGCATGTGGCATGTCGATGATGGACTGCCCGTTCACAGCCAGGATCCGGTCCCCCACCTTCAGCTTCCCGCAGCGGTCAGCCGGGCTGCCCTCGATGATGCGGCCGATCTTATGGGGCACGGCTGAGGGGGAAACAAGCCAATGTCGAGTTCAGAGCTGTTCCTTGAGCACTGTGTTATAATTAGGGGTCCAAGCAGTGTCAGATGCTGGATCCCTATTGTTTTTAATATTGTTTTAAGTGGACAGCAAATTGATATACATTATTGGCAGAAGTCTTAGGCAGCCAAAGAAAATGTTTAAATGTTTTTCTGGGTAGTAAGTGTATTTTGCTCATAAAACACAATTTAAGATTTGAATATATGCAAATGAATAGTAACACCATAAAAATAAGAATTTCTTCTGTTCTCCAAAAGCCTTAGGATGGACAAAATCAAGTGCCCAGACACCTTGCCCAGAACAGGGATACTGGACCTGGGGGGCTCACTGATGAGTGCCTGCTGGTAAGGCCATCACGCGTGGGACCCAACCGGGCAATCTGGTGCAATGTGGCTGAGATCAGAAGATAGGGCCTTTCCCCGGTTCCCAAAATAGGCTTGAGGGACATGGAACTTAACCTCTGTGGTGGGAGCCTGAGCTGATGTGGGAGCTAAAGTGATACCACCTAGATTTATTTAGGCTCCCCTCAACACACAGCATGGGCTCCGAAACCAAACTCCCGGAGGGGAGATGGAGTCTATTCCACTTTGGGGTTGCTCTGGAAGACTTGAGTTTACTCATAACACCCTGGTTCGGCACTTGTATGTTGGAGCTCACTCCAGCGAACAAGAGGATAACCTCCCATTGACTTAGAGTTTCTTGGTCCCACCTCTGCTAGTTGCTTGGACCCACCTCCTCTACAATCTGATTGGTTATCTCTCTGAACTAATCATCTTTGCTTCTGTCTTCAGAACATTTTTGTGTAAGTGAAACTCTCACAAGCCGACTCAGCAGGCAGAAGCAGGGCTTAACGGGGAATATAGTTGGGCAGTGGAAGGAGTACCCACTGACACGCCTTCCTTGGAGGAAACGGAGTTGGTGGACTTGCCCATCACTAGGGCTGCGGTCACTGAGGTAGTCAAAAAACTCTTCAGAGTGGCAGGGACTGAACTACCCTCCATTGACCAGTGGTACCTTAACCAATGGTGTAAGATGGTTCAGTCTATAAATCAGGATGCTAGTCATCCCAGCCACAGACTCGTCACCCCCTTTGCAGTCTGGTAGTAGGTTTTGCAGCATCAGAGCACCGCCTGCTCTGTTTTTATGATTTCATAACCCTGCAAGGCTACACGACTAAGCATTCCTGTTGCACATGGCCAATAAAGATCTTGAACACTGCTTTGGTTCCCAGACTTCTCCATGGGGCCACCCCAGCCGTTCCATGTATTTGTTAAATTTCACCACCACCTCACTTAACTAATTAACTTAATTAGTTAAATAACTCGATGAGGTACTGATTAGCTAAACATGGTACGCTAATGTCGAGTTCAGGGTACCCACTGATCAGCCATAGCATTACAACCACCAGCCTGATTCTGTGTGCTGTAGGTCCCCCTCATGCCAATAATGAAGCTCTCAGTCTGCAACACAGTTTGCATATTTACCTGATCAAACACAGCTATTAAACCTGGTAATTAGCTGATTAAGGTGTGTTTGTGCAGGTATATATGCAAGCTGTGAGACTAGCTCTCCAACACCGGAATTGGGGAACCCTAACTTAAAGGAGCTGCTGCTAATGTCTTGGTCTGGACTGGAATTGGGGGAACCCTGTACATTGTGAGGTGGGATCTCAATGGATTAGATTTGTTTGTCCATCACATCCCCCAGATGCTTGAATGGACTGCGATCTGGGGGATTTGGAGGCCAAATCTACACCTTGAATTTTGATTCATGTTCCTTAAACCACTGCTGAGCAATTTTTTGCAGTGAAAGAGCATTATGCTGGTGAAAGAGGCCACTGCCATCAGGGAGTACCATTGCCATGAAGGGCTGTACTTGGTCTGCAACAATGATTAGGTAGGTGGTATGTGTCAAAGTAACATCCACATGAATGAGAGGACCCAAAGATTCCCAGTCGAAAGTTGTCCAGCGCATCACACTGCCTTCTTGCCATAGTGCATCCTAGTACCATCTCCTCCTAAGAACGACACACACACACCCGGCTGTCTACCCGATGTAACAAAAAATGTGACTCATCAGACCAGGCCACCTTCTTACATTGGTCCATGGTCCAGTTCTGATGCTCACATGCCCATTATAGATGTTTTCAACAGTAGATGGGGGTCAGGGGTCAGCATGGGCACTCAGACCAGTGTGCAGCTACACAATCCCAACAGCAGCAAGCTGCAATAGATTTCACATTTTGGCATCTTTCTATCATAGCCAGCATTAACCTTTTCAGCAGTTTGCGTTACTGCAGTGGGATCAGACCAAACGGGCTGGCCTTCACTTCCCACTTGCATCAGTGGGATCAGACCAAACGGGCTGGCCTTCACTTCCCACTTGCATCAGTGGGATCAGACCAAACGGGCTGGCCTTCACTTCCCACTTGCATCAGTGGGATCAGACCAAACGGGCTGGCCTTCACTTCCCACGTGCATCAGTGGGATCAGACCAAACGGGCTGGCCTTCACTTCCCACGTGCATCAGTGAGACTTGGGTGCTCATGACCCATCTCCGCTTTCCCAGTTGGCCTTCCTTGAACCACTTTTGGTAGGTACTGACCACTGCATACTGGGAACAGCCGACAAGACATGCTGTTTTGGAGATGACCCGGTTGACTGGCTGTCAAAATTTTGCCCTGGCCAAGATCCTTACGCTTGGGCGTTTTTCCTGCTTCCAACTTCCTGCTTGCATATAATGGCACCCGTGGCATCCATGAGACAATCAATGTTATTCACTTCACCTGTCAGTGGTCTTACTGTCGTGGCTTTTGTATTTAATGATTACTGCAAATACTGGTGTGACTTTAGGAGAGATTTGGAAATGGCTAAGCTAACACACTTTTAACAGACACAATATCATAGTTTTACACCAACATAAAGATCATTTAAATATAATTTCTCTGACTGCCTTTTGCACAGTACTGTGAAGTTTACAAGGTACATAGCATAAAACTGACAGCATCGAAGACAAAGAGACCGATGCAGAGTGTAGACAGGAAACACATATGCGCAGCTAGAAGCTACATTATCACTGATGCTGAGCTTCTGCAACTTGACATTTTAGCTGCAAATGTTTTTTTTCCCTGTCCAGTTGCTGTTTATGAAAATATGGCTTATCATGAAGCATGAACACTTACTGATGGTGGCGCTAGACTCCGGTCGGGTCAGCGAGCTGATGATGACGAAGCCAAAGCCTTCATTTTCCTTGCGCTGGATGATGACCTCGCTGCTCTGTGGGCTGTGGGGTACCGATCCCTCAGGTGGGGAGGAGCCAGGTCCGGGGGGTGGGGCATTGCTGCGGTTGCCTGGCAACACGCCTGACTCACTTTTTGGTGAGCTCTGGTGCGTGGACATGGCCCTGGGACTCCCGCCATTCTCCGGACAACGCTCACCTGAAGTCAACAAAGTGACAGAACACTAAATGGAGGCTTAAACTCAGTATCTAACAAGCCATCCTGCCGTTTATTCTAATCCAGTGCTGTGAGCCTAGAGCTTTTGCCAGAAAGCAGGGGACGCCTTAATAATCATACAAACATGCAGACATTATGGGCATTTTAGAGTCTCCAATTCACCTAAAATGGAAAATGGAATACCCAGACAGAACCCATGTGGAAATGGGGAGGACATAAAAATTCCACAAACAGAGCTAGAGGCAGGAATAGAACCCCCTCCCGTGGAAATATGTGGCCACAGTGCTCTCCAATGGGCCACTGTGCATCAGTTAACTGATCAATTATTTTAACTGTATTATATTCAACTGTATTATTGTACATCGTAGTATTGCATTATTGTACATTTTCTTTTCATTAATTACAACCTGAATAACCAGAGATGATATCCAAGTCATATTTATAAATCTTAAAGTTTACTTAAAGTTTAGATTATTTTGAATTACACCTAAATGAAATGTTTTGGTAACACATTACTTGATGGGGCACAAATACTCAGTAATAACTCAGTTACTACTGAAGTATAAATCATGAACAAATCATGAACAAATAAAATCGATAAAAGATGCATCATGATTCATTAATGATGAACAAACATGAGATCAGTATTTCGCTTGTGTTATTCATTACTTGTTCTTTCAGTAGTTCATAAGGGCTTAAAGAATTAGATATAATAACAATAATTGCTTAGGATGAAAGATGCATCATGATTCATTAATAATGAACTAACATGAGATCAGTATTTAACTAAAAATTAGTTTGTGGTTAATTAATACATAAGTAATAGCATATATATTATTTGTGCCCAGTCAAGTATTACCTAAATAATTACATAAGTGTTTTATGATTAGTTTTGGAATAAAAATTCAAAACTCCAAAATACAAAATGAGAAGATGAGATTTGTACCAGAACAGGAATGAAAACTCAGCAAAAATACACACAGTGTCACTGTGTCTTGGACCATTTGCTGGGTACCAACTGAAACCGGTGGTTCCTCGGAACCAGGCACCTGTCATGGATCAGGGCGGATTTGGGGCGACGGCGTGGCATGGTGCAGGCTGGGAAAGAAGTGGATGACCCACTTGCAGCTCACAGGACAAAACGGGGTTTATTCAGTGAAGGGACGAATCAAAATCACCCATATTTTGGGATGTCCCGGACAATTCCGGACGGTTGGCAACCCTATGACAGGGAGCAAGGGAACACACAAAGGCTGACAGAAAGGACAGGATGGCCAGCAATGCCTGCTGGCCAAATGGGGAAGGGACACAAAAGATAGACAACAGGAGCTGACCCTGACATTTCTTGGACGAAGGAAACCTTGATAATAAAGGGAATGGGGTATCCCTGGGACATCTGAGTTAGAAAAAGTAGGGAACAAATAGTCTGAAAGAGTGGACGAGATAGGGAGAGGATGGAATTCAATAGATTTATGCAGGATTAGACTACAAATAAGGCAAATAAACAGGGGAATGAAAACGGGTCTTTGCCCAAAAATCACAAAAGGGAGGGTTACCCTTTGGCTTGAGTGTGTGCAGGTCGAAGATCCGTACTGCTGAGAATATCATGGGTTCAAATCCAATGTCAGGTTGAATAACATTATAAGCAACCCAATTGCTCCAGGGACACTGGCTGACCCTGTGCTCTTTTCCTCAGCTGCACATCATTTTGGACGAGTGTTTGCTAAATAAACTGTCTGAATGACAACAGTGTATCTAAATCCCACTGCTCTCCCCATCTAAATCCCACTGCTCTCCCCATCTAAATCCCACTGCTCTCCCCATCTAAATCCCACTGCTCTCCCCATCTAAATCCCACTGCTCTCCGTCTCACAGTCAGGACCTCACAGTAACCCGGCAAAGGCGCGCTCACACGATAGTGCCACCTTACCCACCTTTGCCCGGCTCTCTCCCTCTCACAGTCAGGACCTCACACTAACCCGGCAAAGGCGCGATCAGACGATAGTGCCACCTTACCCACCTTTGCCCGGCTCTCTCCCTCTTACAGTCAGGACCTCACACTAACCCGGCAAAGGCACGCTCACACGATAGTGCCACCTTACCCACCTTTGCCCGGCTCTCTCCCTCTCACAGTCAGGACCTCACACTAACCCGGCAAAGGCGCGATCAGACGATAGTGCCACCTTACCCACCTTTGCCCGGCTCTCTCCCTCTTACAGTCAGGACCTCACACTAACCCGGCAAAGGCGCGATCAGACGATAGTGCCACCTTACCCAC